ACATTCGGTAGCCATTATCACCACGAAGACAAGTCCAGAGGTCAAATTTTTTTTTTTTATAAAGTATATTACAATATCTTTAATTTAAGATATATATAAAAGTGTCAGACTTTCCAGAACATTTTCAAAAGTCAAGTTGAAAAAGTAAATTTTTTTTGAAAAAGTTGTAATTTTAAATTCCTCCCTGTTGGCAGATTAAGGGTTAAATTTATGAAAAAAATATACCAAATGATAGGTAAAGACATCAAACATCTATAAAAAAAAAATTTAAAGTGATATGTTCATTTTTGAAAAAGTTATGGCACTTTTTAGTAAAAAAAATTAAATAAATTTCGAAAATTAGCGATTTTTAAATTTGTAATTTTTTTGGAAGATTCCTCCATTTACGGGTAACGAGGGAATTTTTTGCAGGTAATGTCTTCGACTAGATACGATTTGTGATCTTTTGATGTATCGTTAAAAGAAATCGGTTCGGTGAGAGATGAGAAAAAGTGGTAACAGACACAAAAAAAAAAAATAAAAAATAATTTAAAATTAATACTGCTTTTGATTATTAATATGTTAAAAATAAAAAAACGACATATTTAACCTATTTTTTTAATCATTTAAAGTTGATTTTTGTGAATGTTTATAATAAAAAAAAAATTTATTTTACAATAACTTTTAGCTCAATTGCAAGTTTAAAATTGACATCATTAAATAGAAAATTCTACATGAATTAAAAATATTGTTTTATTAAGATTAATATGCAGTCAGGAAATTTTATAATTACTATTTATAATAAATTTATCAGAGTAGCTTAATATTTTTTTGCATTTGTATCGTAATAGATAACTTAAATAGAAATAATAGTAATCATTTCCCAGTAACTTTTGGTGTTTAAAAAGATTCTACAATTGAAATATGAACTGAATTAATTTTAATGATTTACTTTAACTAAAATAACCAATAAAACATCGAAACTAAAAAAAAACGCATCATAGTAAAACCAATACCATCTCAGCTTTGCATGGAAGCTAAAATTAAAATACAGTAGTTTAAATTTTTGAATTAAAATTCTTAGGTTTATTAAATAGCTTAATAATTATTTGATATAAAGAGTTTTTCATTAAGGATAAGAATCATTGTTTTGGAAACTATTGAAATTTTTAATTTTTGTATAGTAAAATAGTGTTTTGTTCAAAATATTTTACAATAATATGTAGTAAAAAATTTTTTTTTGCCTTTAGGGATAAATATAATCATACAGTAAACTTATCATTAATAATTCATGTTAATAAACGTATACGTGTACGTATATTCAATACAAGTTTACTATCTTTCTTAATAATTACCATAAAAATAATTTATTGCATATTGAAACAGATTTTGTTATTTTTGTATTATTGTTATTAAAACGAAACTAATAATAAATTTGTATTGTATATCCAGATCTTTGAAGAATTTTAAAACGCAAGCGGTTCATCATATAAAATATAATTTTATTATTAGTAGAATAACCAGATAATTAAAAGCAGATGGGTGTGGAGGTGAAGCTCCAAATTCAGCTATTGCTATCGTTAAAACTATAAATAACACTATAACTATAGTTTAATGTTTTAATCGTGTAGATGCGAAAAAACCTTATATTATGACTTGATACATTCAATGATCTATGTGTAATTGATCAAATGAAATTATAGTTATACATATTCAATTAAAAAAAAAAACAGTTCGGGCAAACTGAATAATTACAATGGGACGAGTCAAATTTGTTATTTATTTAAGTTAAAACCGTTACGCAGGTATCATAAATGAGATTGATTAAAAAAGTCTTGATCCAAGACATATTTTTAATTTTATTTTGTAAAAAAAATAAAACTCAAGTAACAACATAGGCGTAATTTTGGGAGATCTAAAAGAGACTTAGCTGCTAAAATTTGTAATAGCTCTTCAAATAAATTGGAAGAGATTAAGTTAGACCTCTCAAACATTTTTTTCAAATTGCTTTTATATGTAACAACAATTTAAATTGAGAATGAGGAAGGGAATATCTTTTGCGAATAATTTAGGAATAATACAAAATTGATGTTTCGCAGATTTCAATTTTCGAAAATGATAAATTTTGTTGAAATACTGTTACTTTAACTGTTTTTCCCGTTACTTTAACGAGATAAACATACAAAGTGAATAAAAAAACTTAACTTATTGCAGTTAAATATAAAATTATTTCCAAGAGCAGATGGTAAAATTTGAAAAAATAATATAAAATTCTAGGCTCCTGCTAATTGAGGATACATCCCTGACTTTAAGCCCATCGGGATGTCCATACAAATAAATTATAGATTCCGGTAAAAGTGCCCGACCATAAAATCAGTATAACAAAAATATGTCAAACATTTATTTATTAAAATGGTCGACAGTAAAATGTATTAAGTGTACGGTTGATAGTTGGTGCGGAGGTATTCACAATAATATAATAATATGTCAATTTAAACATTTTTAAACACCTTTGGTATCAAAAATATTAAAAAAGAAAATGATTTTAAAAAATGACTGGTCAATAACGACCTTTAGACCAGCGCTTCGAAAGATATCCNAACTTTTAGACCAGCGCTTCGAAAGATATCCCAATTTTCGTAACATAACGGGAAGAGGTGTGCGACCGAGAAATGATTAATGATAAAAACAGAAACATCCGCACTTTACCGCCAGTTTATATTTAAAATGCTAATAAAATTCCAAA